AGCGCCGGGTGGCTAAAGCACAGCAAGTTGGTACAGTAGGGGGCACAGGTGGTGCATCAGCCAGTCATCTCGGTCATCTCGGTCAGTCGACCCGTGGCACCTGGGTCTGCCCCGTGACCTCCTGCCAGCGGGCGTTCGACACTTCACGTGGCCTCAAGGTGCACTTGGCCTGGCACAAGCATCGTGGTGACGTCACCGCCACTTAGTGGCGAATGGCGGTTGTTGTTGTTGTTGTGTGAGTGAGTAAAAAATAAAAAGTCATCCGTAAGTGAATTATTATTAAAGCCGACTGACCCAACGCAGCGATGGGTAAAACGAAAAACTTAACCCGTAAAAACAAAGTTTTTCACTATAAATCCTTTATATGCGTGGCGGCTAGAGTCCTCTCGTCCTATGGCTTGAGATGGCTGCTACCTATGGGTCAGATGATTGCCTGCCACCATTAAGCAATTGGTAATTAAATATTTAGTTTGTTTTCCCTAAACACGCATATAAAGGATTTATAGTGAAAAACTTTGTTTTTACGGGTTATACTTTTACCAGGTAAGGCTCCCACCTCCACCGCGCCAGAGCTATGTAGCTCTTATTTCAGAAGCGACCCGGCCACAGATGACAGCTCAACGAAGTGGCTTTTCGTCATCATCATCATCACGCAGACACGTATAGCAGCAGCCAAATACACAAAACGCGTAGAGACGTTGATTCTAAAAGCGGATGGGAAAAACCAGAGGACACGGAGGAAAAATCACGGGACCACGGACGGGGAGGGGGGGGAGAGAGACACGCAAACTCCAAATATACAGCAGCAGGCGTCAGGGTCGGAATCAAAACCACGACCTCCTGTACACCAGGCGAGGTAGTTAACATCTCCTAGCCACCGTGATGATGATGAGAGCGAGAGACACGCAAACTCCAAATATACAGCAGCAGGCGTCAGGGTCGGGATCGAACCCACGACCTCCTGTACACCAGGCGAGGTAGTTAACATCTCCTAGCCACCGTGATGATGAGAGAGAGACACGCAGACTCCAAATATACAGCAGGCGTCAGGGTCGGGATCGAACCCACGACCTCCTGTATACCAGGTAAGGCAGTAAACATCTCCTAGCCACCATGATGATGATGATGAGAGACACGCAAACTCCAAATATACAGCAGCAGGCGTCAGGGTCGGGATCGAACCCACGACCTCCTGTATACCAGGCGAGGTAGTTAACATCTCCTAGTCACCGCGGCTTCGATGCCGGTGGGGGTGGCGGGGGGGGGGTGGTGACAGTGACAGAGCCGGCCGTCGGCTAGCCGGCCGAACGCGATTTAAAACAATCGTCCACTCGGAGCAATCGTCGCCCGCTCTCTCGACAGGTGCAGGCGGGGGGGGGGGCGCCCCCCCCACCTCTCTCCCCCAAACCCCGCCCCCCACCCCCCCTCTTCTCCCACACGAATGAGAGAGAGCGCAGAAATGAGTTCCCTGTGCCCCCCACCGCACCCCGCCCCCCCCCCCCCCCCGTGGCTCGATACGGCGCGGGGAATTGTTGCCGAGCCGAGATGGTCAGGCGAAGGTGGACTGAGGAGTGATTAATAGAGAGGAGCTGCTCACCCACACCCAGCAAGACGACAGAGACAAAGGTCCCCCGTATAGCCTCAACGGAGTGTTGGGGCAAGTGCGGTTTGCGATTACCTGTCCGCCCAGACCCCACCCACCAGCCACGTACCCACCCAGCCACCCACCCAGCCACCCACCCACCCACCCAGCCACCCACCCAGCCACGTACCCACCCACCCAGCCAGCCACCCACCCAGCCACCCACCCACCCACCCAGCCACCCACCAGCCACGTACCCACCCACCCAGCCAGCCACCCACCCACCCAGCCACCCAGCCACCCAATCACCCACCCACCCAGCCACCCAGCCACCCAGTCACCCACCCACCCAGCCACCACACACCCACCCAGCCACCACCCAGCCACCCAGCCACCCACCCAGCCACCCAGCCACCCACCCAGCCACCCACCCACTCAGCCACCCAACCACCCACCCAGTTCCCCACCCACCCACCCAGCCACCCACCCACCCAGCCACCCAGCCACCCACTCACCCAACCACCCACCCAACCACCCACCCAGTTCTTCACCCAGCCACCCACCCACCCAGCCACCCACCCAGCCACCCACCCACCCAGCCACTCACCCACCCAGCCACCCACCCACCCAGCCACCCACCCACCCACCCACCCAGCCACCCACCCAGCCACCCAGCCACCCACCCACCCAGCCACCCAGCCAGCCACCCACCCACCCAGCCACCCACCCAGCCACCCACCCAGCCACCCAGCCACCCACTCACCCAACCACCCACCCAACCACCCACCCAGTTCTTCACCCAGCCACCCACCCACCCAGCCACCCACCCAGCCACCCACCCACCCAGCCACCCACCCACCCAGCCACCCACCCACCCAGCCACCCACCCACCCACCCACCCAGCCACCCACCCAGCCACCCAGCCACCCACCCACCCAGCCACCCAGCCAGCCACCCACCCACCCAGCCACCCACCCAGCCACCCACCCAGCCACCCAGCCACCCAGCCACCCACCCACCCACCCAGCCACCCAGCCACCCACCCACCCAGCCACCCACCCACCCACCCAGCCACCCACCCACCCACCCAGCCACCCACCCACCACCCAGCCACCCACCCACCCAGCCACCCACCCACCCAGCCACCCACCCACCCAGCCACCCAGCCAGCCAACCACCCACCCAGCCAGCCAACCACCCACCCAGCCACCCACCCACCCAGCTACCCACCCAGCCACCCGCGTGGATGTACCGTGTGTACTCGTGCACAACGGGCACACAGACACTCGTCCACACATCCTCTGCACGTATCGACACACAATCACTCACAATCACACGCAAGACAATGATGAAGATGCCCCGTTATAACATCTACAGACTGTTGGGGCAAGTGCTGTTAGGGAACAGCACCTCTGAAGGCCCCACTGCACTGGGTTTACTCTCCAACACACAACCGGCATGCTGTACTCATAAGGGATTGGCCGCGTTTTTAGTTTACGTGACAAACCTTACTAATTGGCCGTGCCAGGCAGTGGCGGGTTCAACGACACATTTATATTTACACGATCTAACCACCCCAAACAAGTATAACCCGTAAAAACAAAGTTTTTCACTATAAATCCTTTATATGCGTGGCGGCTAGAGTCCTCTCGTCCTCTGGCTTGAGATGGCTGCCACCTATGGGTCAGATGATTGCATGGCAGCATTAAGCAATTGGTAATGAAATAAAATATGTTTGTCCTTAAAAGTGTAACATTTTGGAAGAAAAAAAATTTTCACGAACATTAATTGTCATGCACAACGAGTCTGTCGGGGAAAATGACAGCTCGATTGGATCACGGGAAGTGGGTTAAAAAACGACCGAAAGATTTACACGGTCTTAAGCAAGCAAGCAAGCACGCAAGCGAACTTAATATAAAGGATTTTAAAAAACAACACCACATCTACGAAGGACAAAAAAACTGTTCTAAAGAAATGGGTTTTCTATCGAGGCGATTTAAAAGTGCACCGTAGCTCCAGTGGGCTTCCTAACATCGGAAGGAAGAGAAGAGCGTTCCAGACGGCCGCAGAAGCGCGTTCGAAAGCGCCGCACGTGCTGTGACGATGACGACCGAAATTTGTGCGACGGTGGTTTGCGCTGCTTGACGAGATCATGTTGTCGTTCATTTGCGGCAAGAAACTTTGCGTGTGCCGGGCGCGACCTCATCAGCGTCAGCCGAGAAGCAGGCGGCGCGTATCAACGAAGATCCCCCATATAGCCGACAACAGACAGATGGGCAAGTGCTGTGAGTGAGTAGCGCCTATGAAGGCTGGCACGGCACACGAGGTGGTGGGTGGCCAGCACCACGCCCGGCCGCCTTTGTCTCCCCGGTGGCGATGTTTACACACCGCGCCAGGTTTCTCATTTAAGGCTGAGTCGACCTAGAAAAGGCCCAGGACCAGTTAAAATAATCGTTGCGTGAGCGGGGAATCGAAGTTGGGTCGCCGGCTTCGTAGCGCGCGTCACACACAGTGCGCGTGCACTCGGCACGCGCACGCACACACACAAACACACGCACGCGCACGCACGCACTATACACTACACTATACACTACACTATATACTACTATACACTATTATACACTACACTATACACTACTATACACTACACTATACACTACTATACACTACACTATACACTCCTATACACTACACTATACACTACTATACACTATTATACACTACACTATACACTACACTATACACTACACTATACACTACTATACACTACACTATACACTACTATACACTACACTATACACTATTATACACTACACTATAATACACTACACTATACACTACTATACACTACACTACACACTACTATACACGACACTATACACTACACTATACACTACTACACTACACACTAGTGCTGTACTAGTAACGAATTGGCCACGTTCTGATTACGTGACAACCCTCACTAGTTGGCCGTGTCGGGTGGTGGCGAGTTCAACGACACATTTATAATATTCACGCGATCTCACCCTGTAGTATGGATGATATTGGTCATGAAAGCCTAATACGTGTTAAACTGGTGTCAAGATCGGCCTCAGTGGAGGAGGAGGCTCGTGAAGGACGCTACTGGGCAGTTGGAGGCAGTCGCCCTCCAGCAACAACGGAGGGCGGAGGAGCGACGCTCACAACAACGAGCGGAGCGCCGGGTGGCTAAAGCACAGCAAGTTGGCACAGTGGGGGGCACAGGTGGTGCATCTGCCAGCCATCTCAGTCGGCCAACCCATGGCACCTGCTGGGTCTGTCCCATGACCTCCTATCGGCGGAGCCTTCGACACTTCACGTGGCCTCAAAGTGCACCCGGCCTGGCAAAGGAGCCGTGGTGAGGATTGTTGGTGTTTTGGTGTTTTGGAGTTGGCCTCACCTGGCCGAACGGGACGAAGGGAGGAGGTCCTCCCTCTCCGCCGACTCTGGAGCGCGTGTGCCGTGCCAGGCTCTGCAAGCACGCACACACACGCGCACACACACACACGCGCACACACACGCACACACAAGCACACACACACGCACACACACACGCGCACACACACACACACGCACACACACGCACACGCGCACACACGCACACACGCGCACACGCACATGCGCGCACACACACACACGCGCACACACGCACACGCGCACACACGCACACACACACACACGCACACACGCACACACACGCGCACACACGCGCACACACACACACACGCACACACACGCACATGCGCACACAAGCACGCGCACACGCACACACACACGCACACACACACACGCACACACGCACACGCACGCACACACACACGCACACACACACGCACACCACGCACGAGATGTACAGGGTCACTGTCAACATCATCATCAGCAGCAGCAGCAGCAGCGTGATCAATCATTATCACAGCTTACACAGCCTACGTCTGTCACTAACGTTAAACTCATCACCGTTCTCAATTAACCTTTGGCATCGTCATCACCGGCATAACGGCAAACACCAATTACACGTTCGTTATCGTCGCCGGCAGTGTTCGGCAACCATCACCCCATTCGCAGGCCTGAGCTCAGGGGTGGAAGTTCCACGTTCCCATGGCGAGGGCTGGTCTCTCCGAGGGACAACCTACGCCGACTTTTGCGCAGAGCAGAAGCGATTCCGTTGAATCCAGCGCAAAGGTCGCAAACGGGTTTTGATTCCTTACCCCTCGTAGCCGTACCCGGCCGCACCAGGGTCGCAAATGGGTACCCGTACCCGTACCCGGCCGGGTACGGGTACTCATTTCGGGTAGGGTACGGGTAGGGTACGGGTACCCATACCCTACCCGTACCCTACCCGAAATGAGTGACAAACGGTGACTCAGCAGTGACTCACGGTCTACCCGTACCCGGCCGGGTAATAAAATAATAAAAATAAAACATAATAAAATAATTCTCACGACGTTTCGCCACAACGCAAGCAGCCGTCCTCAGGTGAAGACCAGGTCTGTGGGGGAGACAGAGTTTCTTCCTTGCGCGTTGGTCGCTGTACGGGTCCAGCTTAGACGCATTTCTAGCGGCGATATCTTATCTCTGACGCACCGGTACGGAATAGGGTATTGTCCACATTAGATCTCAGCGTCTCTTTCACGGGCGGCTGATTCCAGTAGCTGCTGCTGCTGCTGCTGGAATCCAACTGTGGATAGCCTCGTTGTGCTTTTTGTTTTTGTGACATTTCTTAATTTTTTTTGTATTTTGCTTGGTAGTAGTCGTAGTAGGGTTTTCATTTGCTCGGTGTGCGTGTGTCATCGCGCTGCGCTACGAACCTGGCGACCCGGGTTCGATTCCCGCTCGCGACCAACACCGGTGACGATTATCTGAACCGGTTCTGGGCCTCCCCTAGGTGGACTCAGCCTCAAATGAGTACCTGGTGCGATGTGTAAACATTGCAACTAGGGAGACAAAGGCGGCCGGGCGTGGTGCTGGCCACCCACCCCCTCGTGTGCCGTGCCGGCCTTCATAGGTGCTCGCTAACAGCACTTGCCCCTGCAGTCTGTTACAGGCTATACGGGGGATCTTTGTCTTTGGGCTTCTTTCGCGCTGTACGTAACCAACCACGTGTATGGGATTTGGTCCTAAAATAAATTTCATGAACAGGGTTGTGGGATGCTGTTGGCATGAATGACGCTGTATAAAATAAAAGCATCATTTCACAAATAAAGTTTTATTTTACCCCGGTGAGTCCGAACGAACTAAAAAGTTACTTGTCAGAAGCGACCGGGCTTATCACCCATCGCGTGTGGAAATGCAGAGCAGCCGAATACTCTAAACGCGTGACCTCGATTCTAAACGTGGAGGGAAAAACCGGAGGCCACGGAGAAAAATCCACGTGACCACGGGGAGAGAGACTCTTTCATCCTTTCGGTAAAGTGACGTATAAAGAGAAAATAATAAATTAAATACTAGCATACGACTTTTCGATTGCAACACAAGCAATCATCATCAGGTATGAATGAAATAGAAACACAAATCTAGTATACTTAGAAATGTAATGTAATACAACAGAGATTCGGATAACATAAGAGTCAACACCCTACCTGGTTGATTACGTTCTTCCTGAGAATGCTACATTTGAGAGAGAGATTAAACACGGAAGCAGAGACATATAGGCAGACATATAAGTAGACAGATATCACAGAGATACATAGAGACAACACAGAGACACACAGAGACACACACAGAGAGAGACAAAACATAGGCACACAGAGAAACCACGCCTCTGTGTCAAGCATGTCAATGAGTGGCACGGTGCAAAAGCTTGAAAAAATTTACTGAAAGAACCAAAGAGTAATTTCTGCAGTCACGAAAGCTCCAAATTAAGTTTGACAGAGAGAGACACGCAAACTCCAAACACACAGCTCTGAGGGTCGGGACCGAACCCATGACCTCCTGCACACCAGGCGAGGTCGCTAACATCTCCTTGCCACCGTAGCGCCCCAGATGGTGTCGGCCTGCCGGCAACAAACAGCACCGACAATAACAGCGCGGCCTTCGTGCCGTCGCACGCAAGAGAGCGTCCCGCACGCAGCATTTGCCACAAGCACAGAGAGAGCACCCCTCACCAGAGGTCGCTAACGGGTTTTGATTCCCTACCCGTACACTACCCGAAATGAGTGACAAACGGTGACTCACCTAGTGACTCACGGCCTACCCGTACCCTACCCGTACCCGTACCCGGCCGCACCAGGGTTGCAAACGGCTACCCGTACCCGTACCCGGCCGGGTATCGGGTAGGGTACGGGTACCTGATTGCGACCTCTGGGATGAAGCCATGTTGAAGGCGCGGGTGGGTTGATTCTAGGAACTTGAATTGTGAGAAGAGACAAGACGTTGGGAAATGAGTGACAAACGGTGACTCACCAGTGACTCACGGCCTACCCGTACCCGGCCGCACCAGGGTCACAAACGGCTACCCGTACCCGTACCCGGCCGGGTACGGGTAGCCGGGCATCGGGTAGGGTACGGGTATCGGGTACCCGATTGTGACCTCTGACCCCTCGCAAATCTCCCGACGCTCGCGGGACCTCGCGAACTCCACCCACCACCACGCGTCTCTCGTCTCGTAACCTGCCCCCCACTGATGCCCACCAACCACCTACCCAGCAGCCCCCCCCCTGCCCCCCACAGCGTTGACGCTACCCCCCCCCCCCCCTCTCCCTCTCTCTCTCTCCCGCTTGGAGTGTTGGCGGTGCTTCACATCCCGCACCGTCTGGCCGCGTCGCTCCCGCGGTGATGCGGAGAGCGGGGAGAGAGCCTTGCCCTGGGGCTGTTGGTCAGGGGGGCGGGGGGGGGATGCGGGGGGCGAGATACGAGGGGGGGGGGGGGTGCAGAGGGGGGGGGCTACGGTTGCCCCCCCCCGCACCACGCAAAACACCGTGGGCTGCATAGGCAATTAACGCGAGCCGATGACAATTGAAAATAAAATAAAAACGTAATCGTTTATTTTTTTCATTCAACCGCCGTTTCACAGCGGCGCTTGTTCGAGAATAGGTTTTTACGTACGCACGCGCACGCACACACACACGCACGCGCACACACGCACACGCACGCGCACACACGCACGCGCACGCGCACACACACACGCACGCGCACACATGCACACACACACACGCACACGCACGCACACGCACGCACACGCACGCGCACACACGCACGCGCACACACGCACGCACACGCACGCGCACACACACACGCACGCACACGCACACGCACGCACGCGCACACACACGCGCACACACGCACGCACACGTACACACGCACGCACACGCGCACGTACACGCGTAACGCGAAACATTTATTCGGAGAAGTCTCCGTCCGCGAACGCATTCTGGAGGGTTAACGCCACGGGTGGTGGCTCTGTGCGGCCCAGGAAGGAATGAGAGGCACCGCTTTAACGCTGAGCGGCGGTGACGGCGCCGATATTGGGAAGCCGCTAGAGCCGTGCGCTTTTAAATGTGGACCGAAACAGCCATTCTCCTCTTGAACAGAGACCCATAGACTCACACAGAGAGCCATAGACTCATGTAGAGACACATAGACTCACACAGAGACCCACAGACACATAAAGACCCATAGACTCACACAGAGACCCATAGACTCACACAGAGACCCATAGACTCACACAGAGACCCACAGACTCACACAAAAACCCAGACTCACGCAGAGACCCATAGACTCACACAGAGACCCATAGACTCACACAGAGACCCGTAGACTCACACAGAGACCCACATACTCACACAGAGACCCATAGACTCACACAGAGACCCATAGACTCACACAGAGACCCACAGACTCACACAGAGACCCACAGACTCACACAGAGACCCACAGACTCACACAGAGACCCATAGACTCACACAGAGACCCACAGACTCACACAGAGACCCACAGACTCACACAGAGACCCACAGACTCACACAGAGACCCACAGACTCGCACAGAGACCCATAGACTCACACAGAAACCCACAGACTCACACAGAGGCCCACAGACTCACACAGAGACCCATAGACTCACACAGAGACCCACAGACTCACACAGAGACCCACAGACTCACACAAAGACCCACAGACTCACACAGAGACCCACAGACTCACACAGTGACCCACAGACTCACACAGAGACCCACAGACTCACACAGAGACCCATAGACTCACACGGAGACCCACAGACTCACACAGAGAACCACAGACTCACACAGAGAGCCACAGACTCACACAGAGACCCACAGACTCACACAGAGACCCACAGACTCACACAGAGACTCACACAGAGAGCTATAGACTCACACAGAGACTCACAGACTCACACAGAAACCCACAGACTCACACAGAGACCCACAGACTCACACATAGACTCACAGAAGTTCCCCGTACACACAAGGCCGGAACCTCGTGCCGTTTCAGGTCTCAGCGCTAGCGCTCGAAA